AAATGGTAAATCAGCTTTCTCTTCTTCAATTTCACTAAGTCCAATCTCCATTATCTTTTCCTTCTTAGGTCTTTTTTTTTTTTATTTTTAGTCTTGCAAACAGTACTTCAGGCTATATTTAGGATTCATGCATACTTTTCCTAAGACTTTTCTCACTTGCAAAATCAAAGCAGTTTGAAACCCTGAAACTGCCATGGACCTGAGATGCAAATCATTATTTGCACTTTAAAATCTTCCACCTGTTCAGAAAAATTGAATTGTTCCTAAATAATGACTAATCCTGTCTGTCTTGCTAAACATGCCTTGGAGTGCATATTGATATGCATGTATTGGAGGTGGTGGGATGGTTCTGTTTGTGTGTGTCGGTGGCCACGTGTAGCTGAGGTGTGAGAAGGGCTACATGTATGGTTATCTTTTGGTGAAGATACCAAATTTTCTACTTACGACAGCCTGGTATGGAAATTATCATTCCTCTGTTATGGAAATTATCATTCCTCTGTTCAACAAATACTTACTCAGCACCTACTATTCCGGTGCCAGGCACTGTTCTAGGGATGTCCTAATAAAACAAAAAACTTTTACCCTTAGATGGGCCTTAATTTCTAGTGGGGAGAGACAAGTAAACAAAATGATTAAGGAAAACATTTATTATGTCAGATGGATGGAAGCCTAAGGAAAGAAAGCAAGCGGGAGAGGCAGATAGGGAATTTGGAGAACGCAAGAGACTTGCCCAATAGAGTGATCATGTGATGTCTGAGTAAGGCAGGAGTCATGCTGGGACCTGGAGTGTCGTGTCACAGACAAAGGATCAGTGCGGATAAAATCCCGAGGCATGAGTGTGCCCAGCGTGTGCAAGGAATAGCAGAGACCGTGGGCAGGAGCAAAGGGAGAGGGAGCATGGGAGGAAGACGGAGTCAGGGGTGTAAGAGCCCACTCGGCAGGTTGTGTGGGGTCTTGGGGGTCAATGACAAGACTTTGGTTCTTTCTTTTTTGAAATGAGAAACCACTGGAGGGTTTTCATCAGAGGACTAAGTGACATAATCTGACTTAGGTTTTAACAGGATAATTTTGGCTGGCATGTTAATAACAGACCAAAGGAAGCAAGGATGGAACTAGGGAAACCGGTTAGCACACAGTGACACAGGCGAGAGTCTGTGTGACTTAGTCCAGGATGCTTCCAGGGGAGGTGAAAAGAAACAGTCAGATATGGGACACATTTTGAAGGCTGTGCTGGCAGAATTTGCCGACCGAGCAGGTGTGTCGTGTAAGATGGAGAGGGGTCAGCGCTGACTCCCAAGATTTTGACCTGAGAAAATGGAAAAATGGGGAGTGCCTGTGCTCCCCGCGTGCTTTCTTCTGTGCGTGTGCCCCTTCCGACCTCTGCTTTTCAGAAATTCTAATCGATGCTTAAGAAGGCCAAAGAAATACCATTTATTCCTGTTTGTTTTTCTTGGCCTCCTGGAATCTGTTTATGATAAAGCACAAGTTTGTGATAAGTATTATATTTACTGATCATGTGTTTAAAGGGAAAAGGAGTTGAAATAATATTTGTCGGTTGGAGACTTTTCTCTACAATACAAGAGTAAGCAGGATTTCAGCCAGGAGAATTGTTTAGCTTTCAAGGTTGATGGTATAAAATAGTTTAAATTTCAAAACATACATCACATTAAACTTCTTCGGCTTCTAGGACTGTTTACATTGCTTTAGTTTAGAATTCATTTCGTTATCCTTAGTAAGCCTCTGATGACACTTTCTTTTTAAATGTCAAGTGTTCTCAGCCAGTTAAATTGGTTACTAGACAGCTTAACAAGGGAGCTAAGTAGCTAAGCTGCTTCATTAATAGGCCGTGTGGATAAATCAACATTTAATTGACGTGAAAAGATGGTTTCTGTTAAGCTGAGAAAGGTCCTCAGCTCCTCTGAGCTTTTCTCCTGCAGGCAGAGACCCCCTCAGTGCCTCACCTTCACGTAGCAGAAGTGCGTTAAATGTGATGCGCCGTGTTCCCTATGCACTCGTCACCTGCTGGCTCTCACGATAAATGGTACAAATGGCAAGATGCCAGTACTGATGAATCCAAATGTAGTCAAAATTTAAATGATCCTTTCCAAAATTTCTAAGATCTCATTTCGTTTAATTTGCATGGATTTGAATCTTTTTTTAAAAAAAGATATGCTTGCATACTGGTTTCATTGCCAGTACAGTCTAATTCAATGAAGAACTCCGGTATGAGACTGCCAGCGTTCGACTCCCCACCCAAAGCTTGTTAGCTTTCTATACATGGGGAAGTTACGTACCCTCTCCAAGTCTCCTTGTCTGCAGGAAAATAGGGATAATAATAGCGCTGGGGTTGTGAAGATTATATGACATACTCCACACAAAGCAATTAGCCCTCACTGGCTGCCACACAGTAAGCGATCTACTGATGCTGGCTTTTATTAAAGAGAGAGGAAGGAAAATGCCTCCTTGGTGTTCAGCCCTTTTGTGGGAATATATAACACCAGGTGACCCAGGAGTGCAGTGGGAATCTTGTGTGCATTATATTGGACTGGCTAAATATTGGCACGAGCTCTCGTGAGTTGAACACTTAAATATACACAGACTCGAATGTTCCACGTGCAATGTTCACTACGCCATCTGCCAGATGACGTGGCCCTTCAGTCAGCTTTAATGACGTTCTCACTTAGCATGTGGGCTTGTACTGGTGTTTGAGATTCCAGAATAAAATACAGACTTTGCAAAAAAACATAGTAGCAAACTATTTCCACAATTCTCGAGAACCCCAGGTGATGAAAGGGGGCTGGAGTGTGACAGGGAGAGAGGATTTTGTGCGGGGACTTCTGGAGTGTTGAAGAGTGTGTGTTTGGAGAGGTAGAGCCCAGGGGCCCTGCCAGCTCTCCTCGGGCCGCGTGGGAGGAGAGCTTCAAAGTGGCTTCTTGGAGAACTGGATGTGAGCTGCTGGCAGGAGGAGAGGTGACAGGTCAGAGTGGACCAAGGTCAGTCTGACTCCCACGCAGGAAATCTGGAGGGCGAGGCACAGGCTGACAAACTGTTTTTGGCAAAAAATCAGGAAATTTGCTGCCACATTTTCACAGGTAAATGATGTGAGTGTTCCCCGTGGACCAGGGCAAGCCAGGAGCAAGGGGGAACTGGTTGTGGTCATCTTGTGGCCTCTCCAAGGGGGCAAATACATTTTAGTAGCTGCACACTGTGGGTAGACAGCTTGTTAAGGGGACACAGATGGTTTCCAAGTCACCCTAGCATAGAGATGAATTGACATGAAGTGAAGACCGTAGGCAAGACGTCCTCTATGACGGGAATCTTCAAAGAGCTCATGGAAGTGTCCTTTCTGGGCCTGTCTGGCCCCAAGAGTGAGAAGCCGGAGCAGGATGTCACTAAACCAAGGAAAAACTTCCTCCTGCTCTTTTTTCTTCTCTGTCATCCTCTCCCTCCAAGCCCAGGGTGCAGAAGGCAGAGTTAGCGAGCTGAGAGAGGAAGTGGAAGGAAAGAGTGAGGAAGCCAACTACAACTCTTTCCCTGAAGGAAGGTGACCCTTATGTTGAAATTACAGTTTGTTATTCCAGGGAGTGGAACCTCCTATTTCAAAGTAAGACTGGTTTGGGTAACTTAAGGTAACCACAGAACTATTCCTAAAAGTAAGCAAAATGTCACAGGCCCTGCTAAGTTTTCATCTAGTGGCGATGGAAAAACATTCATTAAATAACGTTTAAAGGTAGTAAAAGACAAAAAAAAAAAGAAGTAATACCATGACATGTCATGGGTAAAGCCCATTTAACATGTTGGTTAAATCTCATACCGAAAATGTAAATTCCTTTGATACTAACATAACCCGTAGTAGAAGTGACGATCCAGGATCCACCCCACGTTGTGCTGGGATTCTGCCATCAGATATTCAAACCTCGAAACAGAAGAAACATCCCTATTATTTTCGGGTTCCTTTGGTCATTCCTGGCTCAGGGTATGTTACATGGCTTCATGTCGACAGCCAGGCAGAGAACAGCATGAACCTGGGGACAGAGATGGGCAACAAATAGCAACAGAGAACAATGTGTAACAATTGCTTTGGAAACACATTAAAATTAGGAGTTTGGATGCAGTCAGGGACCAGAGGCCTGCATGTCCCCTAGGTGTCCCCTTGCTACTTTTGGCCAGTAGTTTGTCTAAGGAAGTCTCACGCAAGTGGCAATGTGTGAAGAAGTAATGTAGCCAATCACCAGGGTCCCCGGAAATGCAGAGGGGTAAAAGGAGAGAACACAGGAGCTTTCGATAAGTTCTATTGCTGGGCATTAGTCAAGCAGAGGAATGTTGCCGGGACACAAACTCTCAAAGAAATAAGAACGTAATACACATAAAAGGAAGCAAAATGCAAATGAAGTAAGAGGCAGGAGTAATTCCCTCAGAGACATGGGCAATATACTACATTTAGGAAATCAAACTCCCTGTGATCTTTACCATGTAAATCGATTTTGAGAGGAAAAAGGCCAGCTATTCCATCATACCCCTGATGTGAACTGGTACGTATTTAATAGTCCTTGTTTCTTTTTGCTATATTCAGTAGACCAAAATGAGATAACAGATTAAAAAGTCACTTGGAAAAAGCAACAAGCCTAGTAGTTTACAGTTTGTTTCCGGGGGTTATCAAAACGTTTTGTTTACTTTGTACCAGGAAGCAGCACAGGAGTGAGGGGGGCTGTGGACATACACATGCATATGGGAGAGAGAATCAAGGGGGGTCCCAGTGATGGCAGGGCCCTGCACCTAGGAAAGGGGGCAGGGAGCAACCGGGAGGGCCCAGCGAGGAGAGTGGGCTGGAGTAGCAGACAGAGCTAATGACACACCAGGCAGAGACGCCCATCCTGGCCTGAAGCACTGTGGGGGTTTGTTTTTTGCAGTGCTTGGCAATGGCGCCTGTGAACGCTTCGGAATAACAACCAGCGCAAATCAAAAGGATTGAGATACATTAACATTTTCATTGTTTCTAGGAAAGTGGGCGCTCCCTTTCTCTTCCTGGACGGTCGGTCCCACCCACCATTGCTACATCTCCTTGGGTACACCAGCCTGCCTGTGCCCACTCTAGCAAACCAACCGTTGGGCTAGAGAGAGCGAACAAGAGACCAACTCCTTGGGAAGCAGCAGCAAAGTCTCCTCTTGGTCTAGTGGACGATGCCTTTGGACCCAGAACCATGCAGGAATCCATCGTGGCAAATGTGGTCTCCGCGGCTCGAAGGAAGGTGCTCCCAGGGCCCCCAGAGGATTGGAACGAGAAATTGTCCCATGTTCCTCAAACCCAGAAGGCCAATGTGGGCTCTTGTGGAAGGCAAGAGTGCAGTGTCATGTCCCTAGCCAATAACATGTCCACCAACCCCCAATACAGTTCAGAGGTGTCGTACGCGTGTTACAGGCAGGCCTCCAGAAATGATTCTGAAGTGATGTCCATGGAGACCAGGTCTGATTACTCTTTTCCCGTAGCTGATTACAACTACAACCCACACCCACGGGGATGGAGACGCCAGACATGAGAGTTAGAACCGATCCTGTGCCTGCTGATTTTTTTTTTTTAAACGCTCCTTTGTAGGGTTTTTTACTTTTCTGATAGAGTTAGGTTCGCTTTGGTTGTGGCTTGTTCGCATAGGTCGTATTTCTGAGTTTGTGTGTCTATGTATGTATCTCATGCACATGTGAGTGTGAATCACTTCCTTGTCGGCTGGTGCACCCAGAATTTCTTTGAAGAAAAAATTCACTTTCTGCGTTGCTGTGCTGGCACTTATGTGTAATTCACAGTCTCAGTTCCATTCATATGGGGTAGTCTATGCAACTGAATTCTGCTCAATTAAAATGAAACTAAGCATTTCTTCCATGTGCCTAAGTCCAGGAAGGAACTAATAGAATACGGTGTACTAATTATCATTAGCCGTAATAGCAAGGGACATAACATTAGAGAAATTTTCAGTGGGAGCATGCCAGTGAGTAATACTTATATAAAAAAG